ATTAACCACACGCATCAAAAATAATAAAAAATATTTCACTGGGTGTTTGACCAAGTCTTTAGTCCACAGAAGGAGTTATTCTTCACTGAACCACCTTCAGAAGCTACATAACACTACCTTCTACCTTCAAAGTACATTACTACTGATTCTTCCAATAATCTTTTTTATCAGCTAAGTCTTTGGTGAATTCTCACATTCAATAATGAGAAGTAACAAGGATAAATTAAAGCCACAGAAACTCTAAAGTATTTTTTAATCAAATGGCAAAATTACTTCAGAAGATACTTATCAGACCTGCTACCCAGAAGTAAAGCTCATTAGTTTTGGGGAACAAAATGAAAATGATTAATTTACTCACTAAACTGTTAGATCCTGAAGAGTCAAGAGGAACTATATACATTCAGTTCCCTTTAATAATGTACAATCATGTAATCATTAATCCCTCACAGAAATGATCAAGATCCCATTCCAAAATTTGGCAATGAAGCTCATAACAGCTCTTGTGTCTCTTCTGATTATTTTAACACTCTTCCTCTCTTCACATACATGTTACATAATGCAAATAAACATGCTGTGAAGAAGAAAAAGTTGTCTCTCCCAAGTTTTCTGTCCTTAAATAAAACAGTAAAGATAAACTAAACCCCCTCTCTCCAACCAGAGTACAAAATGAAGAACTCTGAACATAATAACCGTTTAATAGATATTTTATCAAATTTCAATCATCACTCTTACAGTGGTAAGCCTTAATTTGTCAAGAAGAAAAAGAGGGGAAAAAAGAACTTTATCTTTTCACCAAAGTATTCTTCCCTAATGACGACTAAAAGTACCAAAACCCTATGTGTTCCACAAAGCAGTAACCTCAGAAACATTTCAGCAATCCCTGAGCCTTACGAACTCTGTTAGCAAAAGACAAACTCCATTTCTCAAAAAATATCTGTAAAGTTCTCAACAACCAAATTATTTGATAACTACAGTTACATCTGAGACCTCCTCCTCAGGACATCCAATGCTTTTTCGTACCATCAGAGCCGCTACAATATTTCCCGGTGCTTTAAGAGCACCATCTTCTCTCAACAAACACGTTTTAATTCCACCCAGACATCTCCCTCTAAAATTTCACTACACTACTGCCCACGTTATCCTTTACAGTCAAATCAGTCTTCTCATTTTTCTACAACATGGCATCCTGTTCAACCTCTGTAACCAAATCAGGCCTGATATCAAGATAAAGAAGCACATAAACCTTTCCTCCATTCTCCCCAAATTCTCATTTATTACATAAAAAGAATCTACTCCTTTCCATAAATGAAATGAGTTTTAAAGCATTCTAATACAATTGAAAGCTAAAAAAAACAAAGTACTAAAATAGTACAAGTTATTTATCTTTGGATTTTAACCAAATATTAGTCATTTTAGGTTCATGTTCAGATAGTTACCTATACTTAGCCATGACAGACTGGCCATGACAATTTATTCCATAAAGAAATATCATAAAATGGTATACGCTAATAGTAGAAATGAGGCATAGTAACAGAAGCAATGTGGGGATACAGTTCACACTTTGAAATGAGATTTTCTCAGAGCTTTAAGTTTTCCTTCTCATTAGAAAATTAACCTTTATTGCAAATGTATGTTTAGCTAACTGGAAATGAGTTATTTAGTAACTTTTATTTTTCATTCAATGCTGACATATTAAATAACGCTTCAGAGTGTAACATAAAAAAACACTAGTTATCACAGCATCATTGTGTATATAATAAAAGTTATAACATCTAGTCTACCTCATCTTGAGCTATCAAATCCTTCTCTTTTTAAGTTTTCATTCCTTCAAATTATCTTCTGATATCACAAAAAATAAATACAGAAGAAAACCCAGGAAATATAAACATGGTTATTAGAAACCCAAAACAATTTACAGAAACACTAAGAACACAACACACTGGGCACAGTGGCTCACACCCGCGATCCCAGCGCTTTGGGAAGCCAAGGCAGAGCGATTGATCACTTGAGCCCAGGGGTTCGAGACCAGCCTGGGCAAGATGGTGAAATTCCGTCTTTACAAAAAAAATTTTTTTTGAGACAAAGTCTCACTCTGTTGCCCAGGCTGGAGCACAGTGGTGCAATCTCAGTTCACCGCAACCTCCGCCTCCCAGGTTCAAGCGATTTTCGTGCCTCAGCCACCCGAGTAGCTAGGATTACAGACGTGTGCCACGACGCCCAGCTAACAAAAAAATTTTTTTAGTTAGCCAGGTGTGGTAGCATACAACTAAAGTCCCAGCTACGTGGGAGGCTGAAATGGGAGGATCACTTCAGCCTGGGAGGTTGACAGTGCAGTGAGCTTTGATTGCACCACTGCACTACAGCCTGGGTGACAGAGCAAGACCTTGTCAAAAATAATAACAACAATAATAATAACACCACAACATAACTTTCTACATTCAAGTCTACTCAACAAAGAAGCCCAAAGAATCTAAAATTCCTGTTTTCGATCTTTCTCTTCTCATAGGGGTCAGGGTGGTGTATGTCAGTGGAGAAAAACCAGGAGGAGGTACGATGATCTTCGTACACTGTACAAAAACTTACCCACTTGAAGGATCTAAGGCAATAGCTCTGGGTTGATCCAACTCTTGCCAAAATAAAACTTTTCGTAAAGATCCATCTAAATTAGAAACTTCAATCCGATTAGTTTCAGAATCTGTCCAGTACAATTTTTCTCCAAGCCAATCACATGCCAGCCCATCGGGGGACAATAATCCAGAAACAACAACATTCTGTACACTCTCAGTTTTGTTAAATTCTGTTCGTTTAATGGCTTCTTCGCTGACATCACTCCAGTATATCAAGCCATGACCAAACACAAAGTCCACCGCAGCTGCATCCTCCAAGCCTCCAACTACAATCGTAGCATTCTCTTTGCCATTTGTAGCATCAACCAATCGCAAGTCCCGTCTGTTTGCATAAAGCAACAAAGGGGCCGCTAGAACAAAAAAAGAAAAATATGTAAGTGAAAAGGAAGAAAAGGTATTGGTTCTTGTAAACTGGGTTTCAAATCAGTATTAGTGATTGTCAAAGATAAGAAAAGAGTAAATAAATCAGTTGGAGACCATCTAAAATACTTTCACACACAAAATATTTTTGCAGCATTTAAAAAATAAGACATAGGAAAGGGGGGGGAACTATTTCCACCATGATAGTCTTTTCTTGTTAAAATAACTCAGATAAAATTTTAAAGCCTGGCTATACCAAGAATTGGCAAGGATATGGAGCTAATGGAACACTCATACTCTACTGGGGTGAATGTAAAATGGTACAGTCACTTGGGAAAACAGTTTGGCAGTTTCCTAAAAGGTTAAACATACAACCTACTATACAATCCAAGGCAATAGCTAGGTATTGCCTATTCCACATCTAGGTATTTACTCAACAGAAACAAAAACATACGTCAATACAAAGACTTATATGCAAATGCTCATAGCAATTTATTTGTAATAACCCAAACTGGAATCAACCCAAATGTCATCAACAGACTAATGGATAAAAAACTGTAATATTGCCATACAATAGAAAATAATGAACTCTTTGTACATGAAAAATGGGTGGATCTCAATTCAGAATGAAAGAAGCCAGGCCAAAACAAAGGTATATATTGCATGACTCTCATCTATATAAACTTTTACAAAAGGTAAACTAGTCTATTATGACATAAAGCAGACCAATGGCTGTCTCAACATAGGGAGAGAAGATGCAAAAGAATAAGGGGGAGGATTAAAAAGGGGCACGAGCAAACTTTTGCAGGTGATGAGCTATATTATCAATAATGATGGTTTCGGAGGTGTAAACATGTCAAAACTTACTAAATTTTACACTTGACATAAGCAAAATTTATTGTCTATCAATTATACCTTAATAAAACTGTTACAGTTTGACTGAAATAGTTCTTAGTAAAGCTACTTTATTCTGTTCTATATTACTATCAAAATGACCTTTGAAAAGACCCGAAACTAAATATAAAGCCAATGTTACAGAAACAACATTTAACTTTGAGAAAGTTAAGGCTGTTGGGAGTGAGGTAGTATAAATTCCATGTTTTTTGGGTTTTATTAAATATCTATTCCAAGCTTCTGACATTTACTTTCCTAATATCAAGCAACAATTAAACATCTAGAGCACTACTGTCCTACAGAACTTTCTGTGATGATGGAAATGTCCAATCCACTGCATAACACAGTACCACCAGTCACACGCAGCTATGGAGCACTTAAAATGTGGCTAGTGTGACTAAGAAATTAAATTTTTAATTTTATATAACCCTTTTTTTTTTTTTTTTTTTTTGAGACAGTGTTTCACTCTTGTTGCCCAGGCTGGAGTAAAATGGCACGATCTTGGCTCACTGCAGCCTCCACCTCGAGGGTTCAAGCAATTCTCCTGCCTCAGCCTCCTGAGTAGTTGGAATTACAGGCGCCCACCCCTACGGGTCCAGCTAATTTTTTGTATTTTTACCAGAGGCGGGGTTTCGCCATGTTGGCCAGACTGGTCTTGAACTCCTGGCCTCAAGTGATCCACTCACCTTGGCCTCCCAAAGTGCTGGGATTACAGGCATGAGTCGCTGAGCCTGGCCCCAATTTTATATAATCTTAATTCATTCCAATTTATATAGACAAGTGTGACTAGTGGCGGTATTGGATAGCACACATCTAGAGGCTGGAATGCAGAACATTAATGAGGCAGCAAAAGTAAGACCAAGCTAGGCGCGGTGGCTCACACCTGGAATTCCAACACCTTGGGAGGCTCAAGCGGGAGGACTGGTTAAGCCCAGGAGTTTGAGACCAGCCTAGGCAACACATGGAAACACCATCTCTACAAAAAGATAAATTTAAAAAAATAGTCAGGCATAATGGTGCACGCCTGTAGTCCCAGGTACTCGGGAGACTAAAATGGGAGGATCACTTGAGCCCAGGAGTTCAAGGCTGCAGTGAGCTATGATCACACCACTGTGGTGCCCCAGCCTGGGTGACAGAGGGAGACCCTGTCTAAAAAAAATAAAAAGTGAGTTATGATGCAATAATCTAAATGACCTTCTTTCATAATTACTTACTAAAGGTCTACAACTGTGTCATCTGAAGCCAAGCCCAACTACCATTTAGAAGTAACCATTTCCCCTTTTTCAAGAAATTACTCCAATGTCAAAAAAGTGTAAGAAAAAAGTGATGTTTCCACTAATTTACAGATTGTGTCTGTCAAATAGTTATGAATGTATACTATTTTCAACTATAAGTACAACATAAACTTCCCTAACTAAGCTTAAATCCAACATTCTTAGTCAAAAACAAACTGGCAGACAGCTTTTTTAAAAAGTGACTAACCAATCTTTCTGCTTATTCTGAGTATCTGCTGCAGCTATTAGCAAATTCATAAATTTCCCTAACAGAGTCACTTTTAATTCATTTCAGGCCTTCACACATCACACTGACTTATCAGTCCCCACAGAGCCCACTATACTGAGTCTCTCATACTATGGGCCAAATATAAACATCAGAAAAAAGGTCCCTACTAGTGAAGGATACAATGCTAAGTGCCGTACAAGGCTAAGGAATACCCACGAAACACTTAACATTTAAAATTCAAGAGTGATAATAATGTACTATTTACTGGGCACCTTCTTTATGGCACTATCCTTGGAAAACTACAGCAAAGCTATAGGACATTAGGTAGCAGCCAAATGTCTTTCATTGCTTTCAAGCAAAACTTTAACATTTCTACGTGTACTGAATATTTTTGGTCTACAAAATCCAAAGACGCTTTCTAGTAATTTAAGACCTCACAAGCATTCTGAGTCTCCTCTCCCTCCTGAAAATGAGTGAAGGAGGCAAGTTAATCTTTTTTAAGTTAGCAATACTAGTTACAATTGAGGATTTGTGAAGGACTATACAGAAATCTGCTGCACATAAACCACACTATTGAAAGGAAATCCCAGGGTTCATTCTGTCCAGCCACCCTTCTGATACTTGAATACTTTCTATTACATTGTCACCAGTATCTGTTCAGCAACATATTAAATGGGATATCTGATAGGTATAATTTGATTTGTAACATTGTTTTTATCTACCCAAGAGATACACTGCATCCACACACTTGCTCCCTGGAACGTGCTAGTATCTTCCATTCCGGAGAGCTTACTTTCTGACCGCCTAGTATTCAGATAACCCAAATAATCACCATCACTTCTCTTTAGTGGAACACTCACAGTGCTCAGGAATCCTTGTTTTCCTTTATCAAACTACCAGCATTTCTAAGCTTTTTCTACTTTGAAAGACTAATTTCCATGCCCTGAATCATTCTCAGACCGTCTCATAAAACAATCTCAGTGAAGCAGGAAATAAGGTAAATGTCATACATCCCCAACATCTTAATTTATACCTCTCAAAATTTTCTCTCCACCCATTTTCCCTAACCTTGTCCTCAGCCTCAAATGACAAGATGGCCTTCCTCTTAAGGCTAAAGCAATACTTTCAGTTCAGCCTCCTTACCTCCTTTCTACAACTCTGCTCTATCAATTGTTCTGTATTTCTTGTATTTTCAGTGGTTTATGCTAGGTTTCTTGCTATCGAAAACTTTTGTTTTAATAACCCTAACCTTGTTACCATCAGAATAATAATTATACTTCTACTAACTGCAAAATCTTATAAGATTGGTATATACACTTCATACTACCATTCATTAGCTATTACTCCTTTATCTAACTTCCTACCCATCACTCAACTGCAAGTACTTTCTTTAAATCTTTGTAACCAAATCCAGTGGTCTTTTCTCAATCTTTATTCTTGACATCTCTAGAGCATTCAATGCTGTTGACTATATCCCTACCTATATAGAATGTTCTCCTCATACAATACTACCTATTTTTCTTGTTTGTCTTGTTTCAAACCTTCCAATTCCTATGTATAGTTATCCCAAGACTCTCTGTTGTTCCCAAATGAAAGAGTATAGAAAACTAAAGTTCACAAGCGACAGCGACACAAGGTGGCAGCCACCACTGGCTCAGGAGTAAAAGTCTCTTGCAATTTCCCACTTTTTGAAGAACTCAAAGAACGCCAAAAAGGAGTAGGAGATGGCACAGTTAGCTGAGGTCTAGACGATGATAAAGACATGACACTTACAAGATGGACAGGTATGATAACCGGGCCTGCAAGAACAATTTATGAAAACTGAATATACAGCCTTAAAATAGAATGTGGACCACCCAGAAGCATCCCCCTTTGCAAGATTTGTAACAAAAAATTAATATGAACGGAGTTAATAGTTCTAATGGAGTGGCAGACCCAAGAGCCACATTAGTGCTAGCAAAATGGCAGAATTCATAGCACCAAAGTTGTCCTGCAAGACCTTTGGCGCGTAATGGTGTCTAAAGAAAATATGAAACTCCCTCAGCCACCTGAAGGCCAGTGTTACAGCAATTAATCGAAAAGAAAAACCACAGGCCCTTCCCCTTCCCCTTCCCCCCACCGCCCCATTCAATTTAAGCAGTCTTCATTTTCCACAGTAGCCAATTTTCTAGATACGTCTTGTAGACTTCAAAGTACTGGAAAGGAAGCTACCATTCAAAGGAAATTTATCTTAAGATACTGTAAAACTAATATCTGGTCCATTTGAAATATATAAGTTGTGCTATAACAAAAAAAGAAAGAAAGAGAATTAAAGTTCACCTGGTCAACAAGCAATTCTATGCAGCTAATTTCCAAAACATTATCTCCAGTTCTGTCCCTCTAAGTTTTTGTTGGCCATCTCTACCTCCCATTAAATTAAATTCATCACCTTTCCCCAAAAACAACAAAATCCCTCACTAGTCAATGGTACACAATTCTAACCTTACTGGCACGCTTTGGAGCCATCTTTGAGCCCCTCCCCTTTTTCACCAGTCTGCCAATGACTGTCTTGTTGACTCTTATTGTACAAGCATGTCTTTAAAAAAATTTGCCTCCTCTTCTCCATTTTTAGAACCACTATCCTACTCTAGACCTTCATGACTTTAGGCTTAAAATATCCTAATAGTAAGTTATCTTGATATTTTCCCTTTTCCTTTTCTACTTCTAATACTTTTACTTTAGCCAACTCAAAAGCCATTCTGATTCCCCTTGCCTAAACTTACATAAAGCCTCAATACCTCAGCCTTACCACCATGACTTCTACCTAGGACCCTAAATTTATCTTTTATAGTCTCTGCATCATACACACAGGTTTCAAAACATGTAAACTGGGAGTACATCACACCCATCATCATGGAGTATTCATTTTTCCGCCCACTCCATACTACTTCTCTTTTTCTCCCAGCAAGCAAGTCCTTCCCAGTCACAGTCAAACCTTACCTACTCTGTAACCCTTTCTAATTGACTCAGCTTTACTTCTTTTAATCCTTAGTCTTTAGCATGTACATATTAGCTTTTTTTTTTTTTAAAGCATACTTTCTACCTCTAGCATCTCAGCCTAGATCCATACAAGGTATACAGGAACCGTACCTTATAACTAATTTTACCACCAATGCCTACTACAGTTCACTGCACACAGAAATATCATATACATATTTACTAATATTTTGGCGTTTTTATTTGTTTTGAGACGAAGTCTCACTCTGTCACCCAGACTGGAGTGCAGCGGCGCAATCTCGGCTCACTGCAACCTCCGACTCCCTGGTTCAAGCGATTCTCCTGCCTCAGCTTCCCGAGTAGCTGGGAATACAGGCATGCGCCACCATGCCCAGCTAATTTTTGTATGTTTAGTAGAGACAAGGTTTCACCATGTTGGCCAGGACTGTCTTGATCTCCTGACCTCGTGATATGCCCACCTCAGCTTCCCAAAGGGCTGGGATTACAGGTGTGAGCCACTGCACCCAGCGGTAAAAGAAGTTTTATTTGTCATAGTCCAAGCCAGCTAAGACTTTTTTTTTTTTTTTTTTTTTTTTTTGAGATGGAGTGATGGGAGTCTTGCTCTTGTCCACCAGGCTGGAGTGCAATGGGCGCAGTCTCAGCTCCTGCAAACCTCTTGCCCCCTGGTTCAAGCGGATCCTGCCTCAGCCTTCCCAAGTAGTAGACTAGCAGGCACCATCCACCACACCCGGCTAATCTTTTTGTATTTTTATAACAGCAGGTTTCACCTGTTGGCCAGGCTTGGTCTTGAAACTCCTAACCTTCAAATGACCAACCCAACTCCGGCCACCCAAGATGTGGGGGTAACCAGACGCGTGAGCCAACGGCACCCCTCGCTTGGAATTTTTTTCTTCTCATTTTTGGGACCAGAGTTTGGCTCTATCACCAGGCCTGGACGTCGGTGGGTACAATCTGGGGCTTAACGTAACCTGGCCACCTCCCAGAATTCAAGTGATTCTCCTGCCTCAGCCTCCCCCAGGGATGGATTACAGGCACGGCCCACCACTCAGCTTAATTTTTTGTATTTTTACTAGAAGAGACAGGTTTGCTTACGTCACCAGTTGGTCTTGAACCTCGCTGACCTTCAAGTGAATCAACTCAAGTGATTCACCCACCTCGCCTCAAATGCTGGGTTACAGGTGTGAGCCACCCAATGCCAGCCCAAAGCCAGCTAAGATTTGATGGGTTATTTGTACAGATTTTCTAATGCTAATATCAAATTATTTAGTTATGTAAAAACTAGATTTTAGTTTTCTGTTAAATGACTGATTTTCTTAGTTATTAGTCTTTTTTTTTTTCTTTTTTTTTTTTTTTTTTTTTTTGACATGGAGTCTCCCTCTGTCACCCCAGGCCTGGAGTGGCAGTGGGCGGATTCAGCCACCGCAAGCTCCGCCTCCTGGCTCATGCCATCTCCCTGCCTCGCTCTCCGAGTAACTGGACTACCAGGGCGCCCGCACCAAACCTGCATTTTTTTTTTATTTTTTGAGTAGAGAAGGGGGTTTACTGTGTTACCAGGATGTCCTCGATCTCCGTGACCTCTCATGATCAGCCGCCCTCTGCTCTCCAACGAGTGCTGGGATTTACAGGTGTGAGCCACCGCGGCCCCACCTGTCAGTCTGCTTTTAATAAAGAGTTTATTTAAAGGTTTCTTTGCCTTCTGAATATCTCCTAGAAGGCAAATATCTGTGCTTACCAGAATTTTCCTGTGGCTTAATGCTGAATTTATTCATGTCCGTTTTATTACTTAAACCAGTATTCCAACCCTTGAACAGGTAGGGTTTCGGTTCCATCACCATTTACTTCCTATGCTTACTTTTTTTCATTTTTTTTTTTTAGAGGGACAGTGGTCTCACTCTGGTTGTCCAGACGGGAAGCTACGGGTGGCCAGCATATCGATGGGTTCATTGCGCGGCGCAATCATGGGTCCATTGCCAGCCTTCAAACTCCTGGGACTCAAACGATTCTCTTGCCTTGGCCCTCTGGGAGTAGCTAGGACTACAAGCCTGTAATCTTACGGCCCAGCTGATTTTTTCTTTTTTGTTAGGAGACAGGATCCACCATTTGCCCCGGCTGGTCTTAAACTCCTGGGGCCTCAGGATCCTTCCATCTTGGGGCCTCCCTCCAGCAAAAGACTAAGATTACAGGCATGGGCCACTGGCAACTGAACTAAAATCTTTTTTTTTTTTTTCGGTCCACTTTTTGGTTAAGTTATGTAGCAAGGTGTTTTTTTTTCCAGCAGTGGGGCCATGGATCCTGTTTAATCAAATATTCCAACCTCCTAAATTGGACGGCCTTTTGCACCAATTCCTCTTGAGATTATCCCCTGCAGGGCCCTAGAAAATTCAAAATTTCTTCACTTTGTAAGGGGAGAATATTAAAATAATAGTTTATTTGATCAAATTATAGGTCATATGGAAAGCACTGTTCAAGTAAGAGAAGGCTTACGCCTCCCTAAGTTAATTTGTTATAGGTAGAATGTTATTTAATAGGATCTTTTGGAGCTTTGCTATGAGGTATTAAAGTCCTAGAATTTCATCAATGCCCCTCATTGTCAATGCTCCATTAATCAAGAGTTCCGGTGCTGTTTTGCCTGGTATTAAGACAACAGTATTAATGTTATCCGTCATATTTCAGGTTTTTTTCTCAGGTGTTAACTGGGTCATAAATTGAACTTCTTTACTTTTGAATACTATAATTCTTTCTAGTTTGGCTAATGGTTCTCAGTTAAGATTCACACTCATGTTACTTATGGCGAATGACATTACTAGAAGTAAGGACCTACTCCAGGACTGCTTAAATATTTTTCTTGATAATCTTGATATCTTATACTGCCTGACATGTATTCGGTGGGCCATTTACATCTTGAGGATTGTATGTCTTTAGATTTTTTCTCTGCCAATGAATACATTCATCTTATACATAATGACATGTATAGCCACTGTTGCTTTAAATAAGGGGTTAATCGCTGGGCACCGGTGGTCACACCTTAATCCCAGGACTTCAGGGGGGCTGACACAGGCAGCTCACCTGGACATGGAGGAGTTGAGACCCCACCTGCCAACATGGGCGAAACCTGGCTCTACGTAAAAATACAAAATTAGC